ACGACTTTATTCTTGTAATTTTACGACTTTATTCTTGCAATGTTACAACATTTTTCTCGTAATAGAAGGGGGAAAAAAATGTCTAGCCTGGCCCAAATAGTGAGTCGTACTTACCATCGTTGGTGTCTCTTCTTGGGTTTTTGATGTAAGCAGAAAACTTGGCAAAGATGTCGATTCCTGCTGTGTTGGCTTCATGATGTTTGGGAGCTAGTCTGGGGTACCTGGTTTTTAAGACAAAAAGATCAGATTAACTGACAGCTGTTATATCTTTGCTGGTAGCCCGTCATTGAGGTAGGTATGAACGTAATCTATGTCTCTGTGTGCGTATGTACCGAGGTGGAGCCAGTTTCTCCTCCAGGAACTCCTCCATCTTGTTAACGTCAACCTTGACCTCACCATTAAAGGTTATGAAAGGAGGGTTGATCCCTGGAGCGAGGTCCTGCAGATTGGCTGGTTTTCTGAAGGTCCAAACAGAACCGACAACTGATTCAAGAAGAAACGTGTTCTAAGGCGGACGAACAGGACGCGTTCTTTACCTCTTAACGTCCACCGTGGTGACGGTGAAGACGACGCCTTTCAGCAATAAGATCATGAAGATTCTCTGGGAGAAGGGGCAGTTCCCGATGCTCTCTCCATCGCTTCCTGCCTGAACACATGTAAACCAAGATGTTAAAATCCATCTAGTCTCTGTTATTAAAACACATTAAATCATTTTTAAGACAGAGTTTGAGAAATGATCCACTGGATAAATCCAGCATATATCCTATAAAAGGCAAACTGTCTCTCATAAGTCACTTCTTTGTCACCTTCAAGCGGACCAATGAAGGACACAACATTTGCCATCTACTTAAAAGGAACTCATCTCCGTTTTGGAGACTTAGAAGTGGAGGAAAACTATAGCATTGCTTCCAAATCTTCCAAAGATACCAACTTCCAAAAAATTGGTATCTCATTTGCTGAGTTGGGATCCAGTGGCTGCGTCCTCAGAAGGCCAGTGTCATAAAGCGCGACAGAGAGACCAAGTATTCAAGTTGAGACAGTCAGCAAGAAAGTTCAAAACGTTTATTAAAATAAAACAGACAGAACAGAACAGACAGTTGCGGCTCCTTCACTGGTCCTTGTTGGGCGTGGCACCGTCCAATCACGGACACTTTGAAGGGAAAAACACAGGTAAGTGACCAAGATAATCTGATGCAAGATGATTATCCGTTTGGTTCACTTACCTGGTTTGAGAGCTCAGTCCATCCCCTTTGAGACAGGTGAGATCCAGCCAATGGGCTGGGGCCGCCCAGAGTGTCCCCGATGCTGCAGCCTCGGAGAACATACAGCAGGCCGATTCAGGTCAGGGGAAAAAAGAGCAGACCAGAAAAGTCCAGGAATCCAAGAGTCCACAGCTGTTCTGAAGTTCTGACCCAAATCAGAAACAGAAGGATCCAGATTTCCAGGAATCACAGAGTCAGACGGGTCCAGAAGCGTGCCCACACAGACACACACAGATGGAGATGGGCAGGATAAGATGGAGACGGGCAGGATAAGATGGAGACGTGCAGGATAAGATGGAGACTAGCAGGCTCAGCGAGAACAGAAACAAGACGTAGCACCAGGATTTCTGCAGGAAACTTTAAACTGGTCTCCTCCTAGGAGCCAGGCTTACAGGAATAAAACTGACTTTCTCCACGTTCTGAGCCAAAACCCTGAGGGCTCTGCGGAGAAGAACCACGATACGATCAACAAACAGGACAAACACTAAAACCCCCTCACTCCGCTGGCCGCCATGAACCAGGACATGAACCATGGAACAATCTAAAATCACCAAACAGACAAAAAACAATAATGATCTGGCCCGATCGCTCAGGCTGAATCGAATATAAAGCTCAAACGCAGGCAGAAAAGATGAGTGAAGATTAGGAACCGTGCAAAGCTAGGCAGGTGAGTGAAATTAACAGCTAAGGTGAAACTATCAGGCCAGATCATGACAGCCAGGTTCATCCGTTGATTATGTCATAGCACGACTCTGTGGCTTCCCTACCTTGCCACTCAATTTCCAGTGATGATTCTGCATAGCAGTGTTAGGAACCTCAACATGTGTAGTTTCCTGCGTCTGGAAGCCCTGATTAGACTATGGTTTGTCGTATCCACTTCCCAAAACTCTGTCAAGGAAATTCACCAAAGGCTGCCTTCTTCTCCTGACTCTCAGCTAACTTCCTGAATGTAGTAGTAGTACCGTAGATGAACACTAGGAGGCGAGGAACCATGCTAGCGTGGTGTGTAAACAGTCGTAAGGAACCAAGCTCAGCACGGTTCAGTTCTCAGATTTTAGTGTAAATGGTGCTAATGTCTCTTTGATAAGGACAGAATGAGGGCCGTAGTTATAATAACAATCGACATAGCACATTTAGCTAATTGCTAATTGACAGCTAATACTAGTGTTGGGTCAGTCTTCCTTTTAAAGCACTAGCGGTGGTTTATCTCTAAGTACAGAAGCATCTACAGTTTGGTAAAATAAATGAGAGAAAAGCACATCTTTGAGTTTCTAATGACCTGTTTTAATTCAATTTTTACAGTTTATTTATATAGAGCTGATTCACAACACCTATTATCTTTACAGTTCACCAGATCATCAAGTCAGATTGATCCAAAGTAAATAATCAATTTGACTTAATGTGGAATCTTTAAACTGTAGGTTCCATTAAATCTCTTGGACTTTTCTAGGGACAGTCCTGCAAAAGCTTCTCTGTCCAGCTGGCTGACTTTCCTTTCTCTGAGGCTCCTTTAGAGGGTTGAGGTACCGCAAGGTTCCCTCTTAGGATCTACTCTCTTCTCTTTGCACTTTCTTTGAGTTTTATAGATGACACCCAGAGATGGAAGTATTCTGTTAAGGATGTGCTAAAGTGACCATATATGGATGGATTTTTGCTGTTTTAATCAAAACAAAGCAGAGGTACAGTAGCAGCCATTGGAAATGGCTCTCCCCAGTCAAAAGCCCAATGGCAGCAATTTCCACTCCAACTTCCAGTCACTGGCCTTCTCCTGGGCGTGAATATTTTTTTACTGTGACTCCACCCTTTCACTTAATTACAGGGTCTGACCAGGAGATGATGCTTTAAGCCATGGACCACCAAACGACCAGCCAAAGACCAGTCAAGGACCAGCCAACGACCAACTAAAGACCAGCCAAGGACCAGCCAAGGGCAGGTCAAGGACAAACCAAAGACAAACCAAGGGCCACTTAAGAGCCAACAAATGACGAGTCAAGGACCAACAAAAGACCAGCAAACCATCAACCAAGGCCCAGTCAAGGGCCAACAAAAGAAAAGAAAGGACTAGCCAAGGCCCAGCCAAGAGCCTACCAATGACCAGCCAAGGACCAGTCAAAGACAAGCCAAGGAAAAACCAAGGGCCAACCAAGGACAAGTCAAGGACTAGTGAAGGATCAACCAAGAACCAACCAAGGACCAGTGAAGGAAACTCCAAGGGCCAACCAAGGACCAGTTAAAGGGGAACGCCGTTTTTTTTTTTTACATTAGGCCCTTGATTTTACATTATTACATCATGTTCTACTTGCCCTTATGAGTTTTGTGTCATTTGGAGCCGTTCTGAAGATATTCCGTTAAGTTAAATCCAAGTAACGTCTTCCTATGGGCAACGACGTGAGGGCACAAACTAAACTGTTCATAATTTATTCTTTATGGTACGCCAGCATTCAGAACATGTAGGCCAATAACTGCCAAGGACAAACCAAGAACCAACCCAAGACCAGTTAAGGACCAGTGAAGGACCAACCAAGGACCAACTGAGGACCAACCAAGGACACTCCAAGGGCCAGCCAAGGACCAGTCAGAGACCAGGCAAGGACAATCCAAGGGCAAACCATGGACCAGTTAAAGACCAGCGAAGGACCAACCAAGGACTACCCGAGGACCAGCCATGGACATTCCAAGGGCCAGCCAAGCACCAGTCAGAGACCAGCCAAGGACAAACCAAGGGCAAACCAAAGACCAGTTAAGGAACAGCGAAGGACCAACCAAGGACCAGCCAAGGACCAGTCAAGGGCTAGGCAAAGAAGAGCCAAGGACTAACCAATGACTGACCAAGAACCAGCCAAGGGACAGCCAATGACCAACCAAGGACCAGCCTAGGACCAGTCAAGGGCTAGCCAAGGATCAGCCAAGGACCAACCAATGACCAACCAAGGACCAGCCAAAGGCCAGCCAAAGACCAGCCAAGGACCAGCCAAGGACCAGTCAAGGACCAGTAAAGGATCAACAAAAGACCAGCCAAGGACCAGCCAAGGGCCAGCCAAGGACCAGTCAAGGAACAGCCAGGGACAAACAAAGGACCAGTTAAGGACCAACCAATGACGAGTCAAGGACCAACAACAGACCAACCAGACACCAGCCAAGAACCAGTCAAGGGCCAACAAAAGAAAAGCTGAGGACTAACTAATGACCAGCCAAGGAACAGCCAAGGGCCAGCCAAGGACCAGTGAAAGACCAGCCAAGGACAAACAAAAAGGGCCGACCAAGGACCAGCCTAGGACCAGTCATGGACCAACAAATGACCAGCCAAAGACCAGACAAAGACCTGTCAAAGACCAGTCAAGGACCACTCAAGGACCAGCGAAGTACCAACCAAGGCCAAACCAAGGACCAACTAAGGACCAGCCAAGGACAAACCAAAAGCCACACAAGGACTAGCCAAGGACCAACAGAAGACCAGCCATGGATCAGCTAATGACCAGCCAAGGGCCATCCAATGACCAATCAAGGACAAACCAAGGACCAGTTAAGGACCAGCCAAGGATCAGTCAAGCACCAGTGACGGACCAACCGAGGACCAGCAAAGGACACTCCAAGGGCCAGCAAAGGACCAGTCAGAGACCAACAAAGGACAAACCAAGGGCCAACAAAGGAAAAGTTAAGGACCAGCCAAGGACAAGTTAGGGACCACAAAGGACTAACCAAGGAACAGTCAAGGAGTAGCCAAGGAACAGCCAAGGACAAACCAATGCCCGACCAAGGACCAGCCAAGGGCCAGCCAATGACCAACCAAGGACCAGCCAAAGGCCAGCCAAAGACCAGCCAAGGACCAGCCAAGGACCAGATAAGGACCAGCCAAGGACAAGCGAAGGAGCAATTAAGGACCAACCAAGGACGAGTGAAGGACACTCCAAGGGCCAGCCAAGGACACTCCAAGAGCCAACCAAGTACCAGTTAAGGACCAGCCAAGGACCACTCAAGGAACAGCAAAGTACCAAACAAGGCCAACCAAGGACTAGACAAGGAGCAGCAAAAGACCAGCCAAAGACAAACCAAAGGCCAACCAAGGACTAGACAAGGAGCAGCAAAAGACCAGCCAAAGACAAA